AACAGAACGTAGCTTTAGTGAACAACAACATGATACAACAAATACATCAATGAATGATGGTGATGTATCAGTGAAAGTGGTTGAAAGTGGTGGAACAAAATTAATATGTGTAAAAAAAGTGCTTAAAAAATAAGTTTAGCGATGGAGAGATTAAGTAAAATGTACTTGTACGCATTATCTGAAAGTAAATGGTACGATAGCTCGACTTTTAATATATTTGCGAATGGCTTATCAAATGCAATAAAATATAACTAAAAAGAGAGAAAAATGACATTAAGATTCTTATCAAGGGAAGACGTGGCTTCAACAAGTTTTTATAGAACTGCTATTGAATAGTGTCTCGATTGAGAATACTTTGTGTGTTAATTCTAAAAGGGATTCATGCAACTTCGTATCACTTTGTGGCTGTACATATCCCTGATTCTGATAGAGTTATGTATCGGAATTTCGATTCCTCTTCAACCATTTAGTAACTACAAACATACGGTAGAACTTCAGGCGAATGTGGCTCAACTTTGGTGGACAGTGAATGATATTGAGCAGGAGATTACATTTGAATTGCATGTAAATACTACTGGATGGATTGCTTTGGGTATTAGTCCAGGTAGGAAATCAAAGAGATGAATATTTTTGCCGATTCGAATATTTTAAAATAATGTTTAGCTGGAGGTATGAAAGGCGCTGATATCGTAGTTGGATGGGTTGACTCTTCTGGCAACGCTCATGTTCAAGTATGACAGATATCTTTTCTTGTTAAGGACGCATACAGAGATTGATCGGTCGAGTCTTTTGTTAGGATCGATTCGCATTCGATATAATGAAACCAATCATCGACAACACAACTCAAGATTGGTTTGCTCTTCAAGGTCAAGAACAAAATGGATGGACAGGCATTCAATTTAAACGTTATTTTGATACTTGTGATCCAATGGATGTTCCTATAAAAGTACGAATATTGATTGCATTGATGGACTAATCAGAATATTGTATTTTATTAAATAGTCTGGCACGAACATTCTCATATTTGCCTATGGTCTTGTTGATCTTGATTTGTGTCAATCAAACGTCGATATTATGTATCATGAGAATCGAAGAGGTACTCGTATATTACCACTCGTATGCCGATCAACCAGCAAATGATATGTTGGTTGGACTTGACTTCTTCGATTCCACTTTCAACAATGTATGTAGCTGTATTATCCGTAATTTCATTTTTTTTTAATTCATCACCTCTACCTTTAGCATGCCGTTCCATCGACTGACACTACATATTACTGCAAAGTATTCAAAAGCCCAAGTCAATTTTCCGTCAAAAGACATGCAATAGCCGTATATTCAATTTTTTATGATTATTGTACACTCATCTAGGTCCTTTTGTGATTTATTATAGCATGAAATATTAATTGATTCAAGAAATGAGAATCTTATGCATCATCTGGACTTGTTCGAATGTACTGAGAAGGATGTAATTGATGACGCCAAACTACTTGATGGAATATGTGATGAAGTTCTCGTTGGAATGAGAATGTGTTCTACAAAGCTAGCCACCGCTTGGGCAATCGGTGCTGACGTGGTAAGAGAAAACAACAGTAACAAATACCTAATAGAATGGCTTTAATTTCAATTAGACCACCGTATATCCAGATGAAGCCGGTTATACTGTCACCAGTGATATGGGCAGTAGATATTTCATGATCAAAATGCACTATGACAATCCACGACAAACTTCGAGTAACATGATCTTGCGAGTCTGATACACAGTTTAGAATAAAATCGAAGGTTTTACTTGTTTCTAGATCTCCGAGATAGTTCAGGAATTCGATTCTACCTGGCCAATGAGCTTCGAAAGTATGATCTTGGTTACGTGCTATTTGGAACTCTGTCTAGACCAACAAGTATTGCTATTCCACCGAAAGCCGAGCAATTTATTGTCGACTCCTATTGTCCTCCTGAAGCGACTCGGGTATCCACATTGTTTTCCTCACAAGAGATTTGAGATTATTTTTGTGTTGTTCGTTGTCAAATAGAATTTCCCAAGTTCTGGAATTAATATTGTTTCTGCTTTGCCACATACTCACTTGCAAGGTATCTGATTTCTGTGATAATGAACATACCAGAATCTCTTGGCTTTTACAATAGGTTATAGTGTGTGGACCAAATTGATTCGTAACAATACAGCTGTTCAATATTTATTTAATGCTGACTCCTTCAATTTCAATTATCAATTTGCAAATCGGCTACCAGAACCTATCAAAATCTATCCAGTAAGAAATAAAACGGCAAAGATTCGTAAGATTTGATGAATATTTAGGGGGACGCATTTGCTACTCGTTGTATATACAGCACAAAAGACAAGAATGAAATAACACTGGTAGAATTATGAAACAGGATTGTGTGGATTGTATATCGTATTTTATCCGTATAGGGTGGACCGCGTACAGTGGACGAAATGTGTTCTCACACATTTTCCTATTATCCTTACGTCGACAGTTTGTCCGCATGCATGACATCAATTGACGAGGAAGCGTGGCAAACTCTTATGAATATATCCTCGTCTGTTTAGCTTTATAAACCTTGAAATTTCAATATTGTTTTTCATTTGAGTAGACCAATAGACAACATTAAATTAGAACAATGGCTTCGTAACCGGACATGGACATCAGAGTCAATTGCTCAATGGCAAGAATTCTTCAATAAAGCTGCTCGTCGTATTACTTACTTCGGTGAGAACTTTATGGAGTCTGAAGTTATCCCTACCATCCCAAACTATGAAGATCTCAAAGTTGAACCATGTATTAAAAAAAACATTCAAAATAATACCGATCAATCTTGTGGCGAATCCAATAATTCGATGACTTCTCAATACACATTGTTTCACTTCGTATTAGCTTTCTTTGCTTTGAAAAATATTTTTTTATCAACATAAAGATATATGAATGCTATGCAGTAATATTTTGCAGAAAACATATGTTACCGAGTATGCCCATTGAGACCCAAAAACGAAAAAGTGTTGTTTGAATGTGTTTCAAGAGAAAATGTAAAAAAAGACTTAAAACTCAACCGTATCATGTTTCAAAAACAGATTTTAACGCTTTTGCTGTGGAAGAAGTGATGATTTTATTTGTTTAAATGAAGTTGTATCTATTAGTCAGAATCGACAAAAATTGGTGATCAAACGGGCTTATTGTCTTTTTTCTCTGATTGCAATGCGTTTGAATAATTCAATTCTGGATATTGTAGCGTCATCGAAACAAAACAATTTAAGATGCTGTTAAAAAAGAATCGGTGGTGTGGATGAGAGTAATTATTTTTTCTATCGCAACTAACACCCACACTCACATCCGCACACTTCTATACAATTGGGCTATTCTAAATACCAAATTAATGCTTTCATGTATTGTTTTGAGTTTTGGGAATTGACGAACTGTAGGGAAAGTGAGATAGGAATTTCATTATTTCAGTTCTTGGATACTGCTGAAACTTCCAAGTTAATAATGAAATTCTGATTTGATTGGCTTCAAACCTCTAGATACTTGCATTGTTATTTGCTTGAATTTTGTGATTTTATTATGATATGGTAAGATGAAAGTGGTACCGAACAAATCAAACTCAGTTCCTTGAACAACTCAAAACTTTCATGGGATTATGACATCCATTTTGGTTTTATCAAAGAATAGTCAAACGTTGTAGATAGTCCACATTATGACGTGAATAGTTCATACACGTACATTATTTTTCTTTCAGGAAAAAGTCAAGCGAGTGTAAAAGAAACGTTACTTGTGTTACTGATAACTGTTTAATATGTGACCAACATATTGTCGATTCCCACAAATTTTCCCGAGCCCCTTACGTTTGCATTATGTGTTCCGCCATTTGTAGTTAGCGTCATTGTGTCAATACCGGACCAGTTCAGGGTAACAATTGTTTTTGTAAATACTTAAAGTATTAAGAGAGGGTCCGCCAGAAAACCAGGCAGAAAAATGACACTTGGCTGGGGAAAAATTTTTGATTTTGGATTTGATATTCTGAAACGAAAGATCTTAAAGAGTTATTACTAAATCCAAAATATTAGCTTTTTTTAACAGTCCGTTGCTGAGTTCTGAAGTACACTTGGGTAAGGGGGTCAATTGGCCTAGGCAAAAATATGGTCATTTTTCATACTTTTAATGTGGTACAAAGCGTTTCACTATTTGAAGCATTAACATAGTAATGAGTCATATTAAAAGAAAGAGCCTTGTTATTTCTATTAGCCCATGCCTTTTTGGACACTTCATGAACATGATTTTGTGGACGAACAAGGAACAACAATGTATTTTATGACAAAAAAATCACTTCGATTTTTCGCTTTTTTTTCAAAATATCTCAACTCTTTGTATTTAAAAATGGAGATTCCCCATGTTTTTTTATGACATCAGAAGATAGCCCGTGAAAAACTGCGTCTGCTGATGTAAAAATATCTGAGAAAAACGATACTTGGCTGATTCATTTTTTTTCAAAGAAAAACCGCAGTTATACACTTTTTTATGCTCATGGTGGATTACCTTACACTATTGTATGCCTTCGTTCTCCCTTACTCGACTCAGAACTGATGCCATTTTTTGAACATCAATAGCTATCACATTGACCTGGAAAATTGTCCAGACCAGAGCCTTCGAAAAGACTGTCATCTATATGTTGTCGAGTACATATCTCTCAGAATATAGGGAAAGATACCTTGTAGTGAACCATGAGTACCCTCGTTCTCCATTATTTGATTTAGAATTGAAGTCATCTTTTCAACATCAGTACGAATCACTGAGACTTGGAAAATGATCAAGACCAGTGTCTTCATAGAGATTGTCTTCTATATGTTGTCAAGTACATAAAATCTCCGTTATAGGGAGGGGTACCTTATAGTGAAGCATTTGTATCTTCGTTCTTCGCTATTCGGTTAGAATCGAAGCAATTTTTTCAACATCGATAACAAGCGCTAAGATCTGCAAAAGGCTGTCTTCTAGATGCTGTCTGCTATACCCTCACCCTTATCCTAGTAATATTTTTTGTTCGAAGTGCTGTGTTACAGACGTCATAGTCATTCTCTGAAATACTCTGCATGAATAAAGTACTTGTTGATTCTAAATACCAGAAAAAAAGTTAGGAGCCTTGTTTCGTGTGCTGTTTTCTTCTATATAACCGGTTTCTCACTAAGCTTGGACACATTTTATACTCAAGTTTTAGTATAAAGTCACGCTTGTGGAAGGCTAATAAACTGTATCTTGTTGTTCTTATTTGTACGATAAATTTGTTGCAGTTATACATTTAGAATACTCTGTGTTAGAAAAGAATGTTATTGTACAAA